TATATATATATATAACCTTTATGTGATTATATATAGAAATGCATGTATATGTAATCACATAAAGGGTGAACAGACACTCTAATTCTCAGGTATGTAGAACCAAACCAGTGTAGGTGTTAAGTCTTTAACGTTCATTTGCTCACACTGTATGGTCATACAGGAGAAGAATGCTGCGCACGAAGTCACGATTGTTCTCTTCTCACGCACGTTCTACGAGTCCAACAACATCAACGACTTTGCTCCTGAGATGAGGGAATTTGTGCAACAGGACCACAACGGCACACTCTACGAAGATTTCTACAGGTGAAGTCCCCAGTGTTTGCACTCACATTAGTGAACGATCATAGTTTTTCTGTCTGCTGGCTTAGATAGGTCGACGTTTAAGCTACCGGTGTAAACCTGCCTGATGTCTGAGGCAGTTATAGTAGTCTGTAAGTGTTTTAAGGGGGTTTTTATTGTTCACTGTGTGTGAATTTATACGTAATCTACTGGTGTAAACTTGCATGATGTATGAGGCAGTTATAGTAGTCTGTAAATGTCTTAGGGTTTTTTTATTATTCAGTGTGTGTGTGATTTTATACGAATGCGCATGTTCGCGTTAACGCGCAAGAGATGCAGATCTGGCGCGTGGTGACGTCGTGGGTTTCTGCGTGCAGGGTGGTCGTACAAAGTGAAAGGTACGACGACTGGAGTGGCACGCTGTACAAACTCAAGCACCTGTTTGCCGACTATCGAAAGACCGTGCTGCGTCACCTGCACCCCATGACCGGCCACCGCGCGCCGAAGGGTTACATATCGACCGCCGCAAAGGGAAACTTTCTTGAGATGCTCAACATGTCTCTGAACGGTAAGTCTCGGCCAGCAAAGCTCTTCACTGAGTCACAGGGTTAACCGAATTCTGAGGCGAAGGGTTACATATCGACCGCAGCACAGGGAAACTTTCTTGAAATGCTCAACATATCTCTGAATGGTGAGTCTTCGCCAGCAAAGCTCTTCACTGAGTCTAACTGCCAAATTTTCTCGATGGGCATTTGAACTGTGATCTGGGATGATGTGTGTGGGTGTCTTTTGCGGAATTGCGTAGTATAGTGATTGCAGTAAGCATTGGGTTGATCTCGGCTGGTTCTTCTACTCTACTTGTCTTTCTATGGGTGCTTTTTTTTACCTATATAGTGAATAATTTATTTGCATATTAGCAAGGATATTGCTTCCTATATCAGATACTCGGACATATCTTTTACAATTGGGATATCTCAGCAGCACATGCGCATGTGCTTGTGTTTCAGTGTTTGAGAACCACTATAAGGACCGAAACTTTGACCGCACCGGACAGCTTGCAGTGGTCATCACAGCAGGGGCCGGCGTTTACGAGGTCGATCGAGAGTTAAACAACATTACTAAGCAGCACACCATTGATTTCGGTGCGTGCCAAGAGCCTGAGAAACCACTAAACTCCCTTTTTCGTCTGTAGTCTGTGATTGTTTTCGTGCGTTGCTGCACCTTTTCTGGCGATTTCTTAATAATTTCATTGCGACATCACAGTAGAACACTCATTTCTCCCGTCCAGCATGTGGATGCGTATTCTCTGTGTGTGATTGAATTTTGCGTTATTTCGTGGCAGGTGTGGGTAGTGATCTGGTTTGTCTCGGCGAGCAACCACTGCATGCTGTCCCACTATTCAAGGTACGTGCTCATGTCTTTCTTATCTACACACACCAGTGAAAAAAATACACGGGGGCTCTGGGCGATTTAACCCCCGAAATGCCAAAAAGAGCCCCCGTAAATTTGCATAGAGTTCAATGCAAACCAAATTTTAGAGTGCTATTTTCATGCACGCAAGCTTGAAAAGTAGCCCCCGAAAAATAAATTTTTTTTTTCCCTGACACACCACGTTCATGGCAATGGCAGTATTAGTGTAATTAATTGTTATTGCTGTTTTGTTGAGCTGACGTTTTCACGGCTGTCGACTATTTACCTCTTGCTAGTTTCACAAGAAGAATGAGGAGCTCTTGTACAACATGGGCGACGACTATCACATTCCTCACTGGATAAACTGCAGGTATGCGTCATAATGCTGCCTCCGATGAGATTTCGCAAGAGTGCTTCTCGCACCATTAAAATTGTTTAGGACTCATAATTGTTATAGGAGTTCTTCTTCACGCTGTTTGTAATCTTTTCATAGTGATTATAATGTGCATGTACACTTGCAAGAAGTTATTATTCGAACATTTTTTCAGTTGTACATGGTGGTTGCTGCTTGTCTGACTGTGGTAAATGCTTTTTCCAATTCGACTATAATTTATGGATTATTGGCGAGCAGTTGTCATCTATCTTTCATTGGCTTAACAACTTGTCGTTAAGTCATCATGCGTGGAGGGGGAGGCAATCAAATGTGGTGATATTTACATTTGTAGACTACATGAGTAAACTAGAGAACTTTTTATTATCGCACCTGGATTGACAGTCTAGGCATTTGCTTCTTCTGCAGGTAGTTTACATAGTGTAAAGCATAAATAACTATCTACTTTTTTGGTTGTAGCTTTTATTCAAGGGAACAGGCTAATGTAACAAGTGGATTTGTGCCAAGGATCAAGCTTCCTGATAAAAAGGTATTGGTTTTTTAAAAATCAAATACTTGCCACTTGTTTGCGGTAATTTTTTTCGTTTTCACTTACATTAATTTGTTTCCTCGTTAAGCGGAAACATTGTTATTGCTATTTGGTGATACATACATTGCTAGCTAGGCATATATCCTTCACAGTAAAATGACATTATTTCCTACACGATGGAAGTACATTTGTCGTTGTGTATTGCAACAATTTACAATTATTTCAGGAACTGGTTAAAAAGAGTGATTCATCTAATTCAAAAGGTAGGCAACACTTTATTCTTATTTGCGAAATAGTTCGTTAGTTTTCTATTTGACACGTTTGAACAGTTGTATATAGCGACAGTTAATACTTAACAATTCAGTCATAGAAATAGATCTTTATTGAAAATGTAATGTTAATTAAGTTTCATGACTTTGTAATTCCTGCTAATGCTATGTCTTTTTTGTTTTGTTGTTATAGTGTTCAATAAGCCAGCTGCTATGGCTTCTAAATCGGATGCTGGCAATGGGTTTCCAGCACTGTTTGACTATGAGGAATATGACGCGCAGGTGTTCAAGCTGCCAAAATCGCGGTCTAGTCAAAAGCAGACTACAGTGTAAGATAGCCCGCTGTAGATACATGGAATATTCTCATCCATTTTATCTTGTACTATATCGCAATTTTATTAGACACTTCCATGAACCCATGTAACTAAATATATATAATATATATTTGTTACACTTGACATATATGTTTTTATGTCCGTTTTATAGGTTTGTGGGTTTGTAAGCGATTATGGTTTACGTTTTTGTGGCAATTATAATTAATGGATTGTTTATTTGTTTAATAATTTATTTAGTTATTTTTTTCTTTTTTAACCATGGATACCCTGTTAGTCCCGAGCACAGATAACAATGTTCATAGTGGATAGGATTTAGTTACCATGGAACATTTTTAGCTTGTCCCAAATCTTTAACTCGTCATCAATATTTCAAGCTATCCATTTGGAAATGTCATATATTCCCTTCAAACTCTCTTGCTTTGTGTAGTAGTGGGAGGGCTAAGTTATATAGCCATTAGTTTGTCAACTTGGTTGTTTGGCTAGTTCTGGTCACTTTTCTTTTTCTTTGGTTTTGTTTTCTAATGTCAGTGCATGGTGGTTCTGTGCTTTCAATAAGATCAGTGTTTACAAAATTAAGAACAAACTGCTCTTAATTTTATCAAATATTTCTCTAAGAGACGTACTCTTATCTTGTAACGGTATGCTGAATGTTATTCTTATTCTCTCTCTGTCTCTCTCCATGTTTTTCTCTTCTGACCTTTGTCTCTAGGAGAGCACGAAGCTCGACCCCCAGCGCAAACCAACTTACCCATCACACACGTGGCAACGCCAGAGAACCGGTAGACCACCAGGTCCCTAACAGACGCAAACGGTAAAACGAAGCCCAGAGCATCGATTGTTATAGATCTGTGTAGCCTGCTGCAAACGTATTATTATTCTCTACCAGCGTGTTGCTATTCGAGGCTGCTTCCTTACGCTTCCTGCCACAATAAAGACTGGTAGCTGCTTGAATAATTGTTTATACGTTATTAATTCACTGCTTGTGTTATTATTCAATTGTGCATTCAGATATATGTCCGAAGACTACACGCTGTTGGAAAAGGATCATTTAGAGAACACGCCCCCAACTGGGCACTCCTCATCGTCGGCCATTGAAATACTACGCAGACGGACACGGGATTCGACCCTTTCCTCATCACTTGGCACAACAAGTGGGGCAAGCCATATGGCTGAAGTTGTACGGGGTATGTTGGTGTGGACCACATCTTACTGAGACTGTGGCAGCAGTTAGTTAGTCTGACCCTTATTGAAATTAATTGGCAATTGTGACCTCAATATAACTCAATATAACTCTGGTGGCAGAATAAAGGTTGATAGTTTTGTGTCTACATCAGTAATTTTTTGGTTGGTGCATATATATCTTTACAGCCATCTCGTAGGTGTAAAAACTCGTGTCAAATGTAGCATCAGTTACCTTAACTATTTACATTTTTGGATTAGAAAACTGTGAATAATAAAAATCCCCTCCTGCTTGTACGGTAACAGGTCGGTCGCCTCACACTCTGTCGTCCAGTGGCTCACTAGATGACTCTGGCCTGCCTCTGGGTAACCGCCTTGTTGTAGGCAGTGCTGGCTGCTTGCGATACGACTACCGACAAGGCTCACACCAGGTATAGACCATTGTCAGCTTTGGTATCATCTTTATGTCAGCCGGCAATTCTTTTTTCTGTATGTCTCCTAGTCCTGGCCTGACAGCAGTTTAGCAAGGAGACAGTAATCCCCACGGAGACAAGAATTGCCATTGCTAGAATTATAAATTACCTAATTTGACAAAGGTCATAAAGTCTCCTTTACATTTATTGGAAATTTCACATCAGTCTTTTTTTAAATTCTAACCTCTATAAGTAAAGCAAGCCACAATATTGCTTCATGAAGGCATGGATGTATGAACAATTTTATTATGATTTAAAATGCTAGTGCTCCTTAGAATATATAGCTACTAATGTATCACCAATATGTATGATATAATGTAGGACTATATGCATACTGTGTCGATAAGGAAATACCCTGCTCATTACTAAAATATTATTGTCTTCATGTTAGCTAATGAGTTTCCTTCTGCATGCAGTACTACCACCCACAGCGGTCTCTGATCAACCCATTTGGCTCGGTGAACATGGCTATGAAGGTCACCTCCAATAGAAGACGATGGATTCATTCATTTCCTAATGGTATTCCTTTCATTTGTTCTATCCAAGGCATTAGTGAATCATTAGGGGCTGTAACGTTGTGAGTGAAATTGTGCTAATATATACAGACAGACAGACAGAGAGACAGACGGACAGAGATACAGACAGACAGATAGGCAGACGGGAAGACAGACAGACATATCACATTCACTGAACATTTGAGCGGCTGCTGCAGGGAAAAGCAGAGAAAGACTAAACCAAAACCAGCCTCAGTGTCAGCCAGCCATAGGTGAAGAATATGTTCAGTTGCCACCATCTAGGCAAGTCCTGCAGGTAATATATGTAAACAATAACAGTGCAGGAGTATCGATGGGCATTGTCATTGGTATTGGTTGCATGCACAGAGTTGCGATCTGGTTGCTACGGTCACAAAAATATTGTAAATCGCTTACTTGTTCGTGAAATCTCTGGGATTGACGCTTCAGCATGTTTTCAGGTGGTGATAAATGTTGCAGCTATTTCCGTGTCTTGTGTTTGTAGGCAGGGCAGCGTGTGGGATGTTCTGTGTTGACACATGGCTATGTTTGCAGGCAGGGCAGAATGTAGTTGAGGCACGGTTGCAGCAGCGTAGGAACGAGAGCGTGGAGCCTGGAGACAGCCCACAGAACACACTACACAAGACCCACAGTTCCACCAGCATTTCTAGCCAACACAGCGTTAGATACAAGTAAGCAGCAGCATCCATGCTCTAGTCTCATCATTCATATAAAGTTATTAAAGTCCAGCAACCGCTTGCGTGCAAGGTAATTTTGCAGTCCATACACTACCACCGCCACCTCAGATGTATATGTCTCCCTTATTTATCAGTATTCTATTATTCGTTTCATTACATCTCTAGCGCTGCATGTTTTGTGGCATTTCAAACTTGGCATATTTTCAGCTAAATCGTTTACCTTAGAATCACGCCAACAGTAGTGATTTCCTGCACAATAACAATTTCAAAGGGAAATATATTCCAATTTTCTCATAGTATTTTATATCACTGCAGCCTATGATTACGAAATCGTGTAGAAAAGTGTGTCATCGCATACTAACCGCAGCAAAAGCTGTGAAGGTGATGCATGTGTTACTTGCATATGAGTAGAATCGGGTGATTTTTGTCACCCTCATGAGACCTGATGCCATAGATCTCAAGTTGTTATTTTGTCGATTCCATGAATGATGACCCCCTACATACATAACATGCCCTAATATCTAATATAATAATTAGTGCGTGTTTTTGGCATGCCAGTGGGATACAACAACAACAGCAGCAGCAGCAGCAGCAACAGCAACAACAGCAACAACAGCAGCAACAGCAGCAGGTTACAAATGGTGATCTGTCATGGTATGGTGGTTCTGCACATTCTGCTGTATCGGCTGCCATTAGCCATGATCATCTTGGTACAGTTTCCAGAAAAGTTCCCTCTCTCAACTTTGCATGTAAGCACTGTCACCCGTTTGAATTGTTGTAGAAAACTAATATCAACCAGCTTTGAAGGCAATATTGGGTTTCTTTTGTATTGAAAGAGGTTTCTTTGAACATTTTCCATGGGCACATGATAAGGTTTAGAGTTTATATTTGCCCGACTCGATATAGTGTTAAATTACTAATTAAAACTTTGCCATAATCTACACATGATAGGAGCCAGTGTTATTAAATTTTGGGTTTCAAGGCAGTTTGATGATTTAGACAAAAAATAGTCATACTATATATGCACAAGTCATGTATGCATCACAGTCTGTCAATATTATGGAATATCTTGCTTTGGTGGTTTGACTGTAATATAATACTGTGGTTTCAGTTCATGATTTGTGAAGGAAAGCTGTGCCAGTTATAGCCAGTTCCACTCTTACCCTCCCGAGATGAACTGATCCTAGGACTTGTCAATTAATAGTTTTCTGTCTTCTCTGTAGGAGTACAGTAAGAATCCTAAACAAGACATCTTATTAATTGTTCATAATGTTTTGCCATGGTTAGTCTAGCTGCCAAGATGTGTTTTCTACGAGTATTAACAGCATGCTGTTATTGAATGTACATTCCCAACAATTCTTCGAATAGCAGCAGTAGTAAATTCGATAGCCACGTGGCTGTAGTCTGAACGTGTGCGATGAAATAACAGTAACACACGAACTGTTTAGCATAGGCTTGCATGCATATTGTACAATAATAACCGTGTCTTGATATATAACAATAATAACCATGTCTTGTCACAAAAACGTCTGGACTAATCCTGTGATGTATGCGTCAACTAACTTTCATTTGGTGTGTGTGATTATAAAATAGTGATTCAACAGATTCTCTAGTCTCTCTGCACTATAGTCTGTATGTTACATCGTATGATCATAGTCACATTTTTTGTGGAGAGTGAGATCTGCTTCACAATTTAATTTTCACAGTTGTATTGCAAGCAATTTTGTATAATCAATATTTATTAATTATTAATTATATAATAATTCACACGATAATTGCACACGATTTGATGTACGGTGAGAAAACATGAAAAACTTGTATTTCGTGAACCTCATGTGTATAATTTAGATTCCCGTGCGTCGTCTGAGAGTCAACAGTTATCAGAGTGAATAATCTGGCATTAGTTCTGTCAGTATCGTGGAATACTATACGTGGACTTGCAGAATGTTTAATATTTTCTCTGTTTCTATCTAAACGATTTGTTGCTATAGTTAGTGCTAAAACTCAATGGTACAAGTATGCGATTGTAGAGGTCTGCAGGCATATATTATGCTTGCTAGCGGCTAATAGGAAGGGATGACCATTGCTTGCGGTATCAGTTCCCGTAGAGGCGAGGTCAGGGTGGTAGCATGGTGCCCACGTACAGCGCCAACATCAAGAGGAAATATGACTTTCTCCGTGGAGGTCAGCACGAAAGTTGAGATGCAAAGGATTGGATTAATGAATCTTACCAAAGGTAAACTTGTATACGCTGTATTCGCGAGTGGTTTAATTTTCGCGAATTTTGGCGAACAGCTGTCCCCAGACCGCGAAAATAAACCACGACAATTCATCACGAATATATTCATACCGGAAATAATCCAATAATTCATATTCACCGACTGCAAAGATGACCACTCGCCAGGAAATTGTCCATCATGTTGAATTCACGAAAATATCTGTATTGAAAAATATTGGCGTATACAGTAATATATGCTTTAAATTAGTGTTCATGTCACAATTGGTTGTTGTGTTGATGAAATGCTGTTTTCAATAACCCAAATAGGTGCAAACCTAGAATAAGTTACCGTAAGTAACCCAAAGTTGTGTTTAACACGAACAGCAGGCACGTTATTTCCGCATGTGTATCGATATGAGGGTTTGGAAGATGGTGTTGATAATTTCTTATCGGTCATGATAATTTAACAGAATGAAACAGTGGAGCTGCGGTGTCACGGTCTGAGATTACCCGGCCAGTTCTGAATTACCCCTAGGCGCTACTGCGCATGGCTCGACGCATGCGCGACGAGGTGCTGGGTGTAAATAAGGCGGCAGTAGCAAAAATTAGCATTGGTTAACTGAGACTGCCAGCCGTCACAGGCAGTCAGCGTCTTAACGCCATTTGTTTTAGCAAAGTTGTTGTATTAGGCCATTTGGTCCAAAAATACGGAGCAGAAGCAGTTTATCTTTGGCTCTCGCCAACACCGGAAGTGACTTATACGCACGGCCGGCCGTGTGGGCCAGATTCATATGCTATAGCGCACGGCGGTCCGTATGAGCGACTCAATATGGCTAAGGAATGAGGAGGGGGAGAAGGGAGAAGCTGTGAGAAGGAGAAGCGGAAGGATAGAAAGGTGGTGGAAAAGAGGAGGCGGGAGGGGGACAGCTGGTGGAGAATGAGGAGGGGAGAAGGGAGAAGGTGTTGGAGGAGGAGGGGGGGGCGGAGAAGCTGGTGGAGAAGGAGGAGGGGGAGAAGAGAGTGGTGGAGAAGAGGGGAGAAGCTGTCGGAGAAGGAGGCAGGGGAGAAGGGAGAAGGTGGTGAGAGGGGAGAAGCTGGTGGCGAAGGAGGAGGGGAGGCAAGCTGGTGGAAGAGGAGGAAAGGGAGCAAAGGAGGGGAAAAGGGAGCTGGTGGAGGAGGAGGGGAGAAGGGAGAAGCTGGTGGAGAGGCGGAGGGGGAGAAGGGGAAGGTGTGAGAGGAGAGGGGAGAAGCTGGTGGAGAAGGAGGAGGGGAGAAAAGGAGAAAGTGGTGGAGGAGCGGGGAGAAGCTGGTGGGAGAGGAGGAAGAGATAAGGCTGTATGGAGGAGGGGAGTGAGGATGGAGGAGGGAAGAAGCGTGATGGAGGAGGAGGAGGAGAGAGGAGGAGAGAAGGGATGCGAGTAGGGGGAGAGGAGGAGAGAAGATGATGGAGGAGGGTGAGGAGGAGGAGGAGGGGGAGAAGAGAGCAGCTGGCGAGAGAGGGGAGGGGGAGAAGCTGGTGGTAGGCTTCCTCTTCTCCACAGCTTCTCCTCCTTCTCCCATCAGCTCGCCCTTCTCCCCTCTTCTGCTACAACGCAGCTCTCCCCCTCCTCTCCCCTGCGCTCCTCCTCCTCCCCTACTCCATCACCTTCTGCGCCTCCTCCTTCTCCTCCCTCCTCGCTACTCCACTTCACCTCTCCCCTCCTCCTGCCCGCTCCTCCTGCCTCCTCCTCCTCCAGCACCTTCTCGCCTCTGCGTCCCCTATCCATGCACGCTTCTCCCCTCGCTGACCTCCTCCATCCTTCGCCTCCTCGTCATCATGCTTCTTCCTCCCTGCCTCGCTCCCCCTAACTGCGCATCACTTCTCTCTCCTCCTGGCCTCCTCCTCCTCGCATCCACGGCTCTTCCCTACTCCTCCTCCCTCGTGCCTCCTCTCCCTCTCTCCATCAACCTTCTCTCTTCCTCTCCTCCTCCTGGGCAGTACCTTCTCGCCTCTCCTCCTCCCTTCTCCATCACCTTCTAATCCTCCTCCTCCTCCTACTCTACTGCATCACCTTCTCCCTCCTCCTCCCACTCCTCTCGCTCCCTCCGCCTCCTCCATCACCTTCTCTCGCCTCATCGTCCCCCCTACTCCATCACCTTCTCCCCTCTCTCCTCCTCCTCCTCCTCCCATCATTTTCTCAGCCCTCCTCCCCTTCCTCCATCCCTTCCTTTCCTCCTCCTCCTCCTCCCTCCCCATCACCATTCTCTCCTCCTGCCTCCCTCCTGCGCCTCTCGCTACCATCGACCTTCTCGGCCTCATCCTCCTCCTCCTCCGCTTCTCCATCACCCGTCGCTTCTGCTCCTCCTCCTCCCTCCCCCTCACCTTCTCTCCTCCTCTGCTCCATCACCTCCCCCCTCGTCCTCCTCGATATCGCCTCCTCATCACCTTCTCTCCTCCTCTCTCCTCCTCCTGGCCTCCTCCTCCATCACCTTCTCCGCCTCCTGCCTCCTCCTCCTAACGCCTCTATGGGCAGCCGGGTTAAGATATAATTGTGCGCGAACAATTCCAGAACCGGTCTGAGTTACCCAGTCTGATTTACCCACCTATGGGCACACAGGATATACTTTGCAGGGTAATTTAGATGGGGGTAATCTCAGACGCGTGACCGTGGACCGGTCTGAGTATGTACCCAGTCTGCTTACCACTAGTGGGCAGCACAGGATATAATTTGCGCAGGGGGTAATTTCAGACTGGGGGTAATCTCAGACAGGTATCGGCGTGAGAGTGTGACGCGTGACACAGGTCTGAGATTACCCCAGTTCTGATTTACCCACACTAATGGGCATACAGAATTATACTTGCAGGGGCTAATTTCAGACTGGGGGTAATCTCAGACCGTGACATCGTCTGAGATTACGCCGCTGTCTCTGAATTTACCCACCTACTGGCCACACAGGATATAATTTGCAGGGTAATTTCAGTACTGGGGGTAATCCCTCAGACCGGACACCGGTCTGCAGATTACCCCAGTCTGAATTACCCACGGCTATGGGCACACAGGATATAATTTGGCAGCGGGTAATTTCAGACTGGGGTAATCTCAGACCGTGACAGGCGGTCTGAGATTACCCGCAGTCCTGAATTTACCCTCCTACTGCAGAACTAATCTCAGACTGTGGCCGCGGCAGTCTATTATCCAGCGCTAGCTGCGCATCGCGTCACTGCATGCGCACGAGGCTGCAGGGGTAATTTCCAAGACTGGGGGTAATCTCAGACCGTCGACACCGGTCACTTGTGTGAAGTACGCAAAATTGTATTCTATGTTGTCTAATCCGCAACCACATCAATCGCTTGCGTGCATCCTAAACTGTTTTTGTGCAATGTGGCAGAGTTGACTGGAAGTCGCATGGACGTGCCTGCCTGTCCTTCCAATAACCACGCTTCCTTTCCCAGACAAAAGGAGTTCTGGCAGAATTATTTGTCGTCAGCGGACTATCAGGCTATTGGCTGACATTGTCTCCTCGATTGGGGAATCTATGCAGGTACTCGGA